GGGTGTAGCTGACGTGATGTGCACGTGCAGGAGGTATAACCACCAGTTATACCTCTGTGCTTTGGTAATATGCCGTTGTTGACAAAATAAATATCAACACAGTCTATGCTGATTGAACTCAAAACTTCTACAAAGGCCTGAGAGATGTTGCTCATTTGCAGTTTGTTAAATAAAGTTTCCTTAGAATTGTGCGTAGTGCTGTTAATCCTACAGCGCCACTGAGTTAGCGCATCAATGACCAGTAGTGGAATTTAACATTTAAACCGTGTTTCTAAACTCTGATACTCGACACTGCTTGTTTTAAGTTTTCAGGTGCTCGCCTGCTACAACATGCTTAATTGCATCATTCAATACTTGCATGAACTCATGTTAACTTACAGGATATGAGCACATAAATATTTTATGGGAGAAAATAATCTGTTTGAGCAATTGGGCCCCATTCCTTCAATGAGGAGAGTGAACTTGAAGACAGTAAGTGTTTCATGAAGTTCCAGAGAATTGTTATCAGATAGGCACACTCAGACACACAGAACCATACAATCACACATTAAATGCTTCTAAGAAAATTTAGTTGATGTTCATTAAAATAAAAATACAATTTTAAATGAATCTAAAAACATGAGCATATGTAGAAAACTGTGACATTTTAGTGCCATTATAGCGCTTTATTGCCCTGAGGTAACCAGTTTCTGGTGGGGTCAAATTTGACACAGGACACAGAGCATTTTTGTAGCTTTGCCTCTGTACACCAACACATTAGACTGTAAATAAATAATTGAATTCATGCTGATGAATACAAGCAGGCTTCTATAAATATGTATAAGCTTTGGCTATTGCTCACAGCTTAGACACAGGCAACTTGTGACATGCTTTTCAAAGCACTGGCTGCTGGTTTTACTCAGGAAAATTGCAGGTGAAACTAATCCAATAATGCAGGGATGTCAAACTCATTTTACATGACGCACCAAATGCAGCTCCACTTTGATCCTTAGTGTAGCAAATGAATGAAACTCTGCCCTTTGTCAGTGTAAAGAAGTTTCAACTTCACATTTAATCCCTTAGATATCTTAATATAAGAAAAATTTGTGCAATTTCAACAGTTTTTCTACAAGATAAAGAAATGCTGCTGTAGTAAATGAAAAAAGTCCACCAGCATGACTCTTTGGGCTTAAATTGGAAGAAATAAATGTGTAAATTCACAGTAAATTATCTTGTAATTATAAAACAGAAATGTTTTTGTTTGGTTCTTTTTTTCTTCTTTTACTGTGGACCTAAACAAAACAGAAATGTCTACTTTTCTGTAATTTTATTGTTTATTTATTTATTAATTAATTAACTGCTGCACTAAGATTGGCATTGAGGGAGATCTTTATCAGTGAAAAAAGCTGTAAAACTCGTGAAAATACAGCTAAAAGCCTGAAATTTATGCCAGACTTTTAGGGACACCCGTGACACGTCTGTCATGTCTCGTTTGGATGAGTGTATTATTGCATCAGCGAGGACGCTTTAGTTGAACCGACACAACTTAACCGCGAGGCGGCAGTGCTGTGCAAGATATATACAAGCCAATAAAGGACGGAGAGTGAGCGTGTGGGGGGATGGGGGGGATCACACTATGCTTAGTTAAACCATCTATGAGTTCATCTCTTGACAAACCCGACGTGCAAAGAGCTGCACGGAGACTTACATCAGTGTTGCCTTCAGGGGACAAACGGCCCGGAAAAGATGAGCAGTAAACAGGGTACAGCTAATTGCAGGCCAGCCCAGAACAAACATATTTGAGTGGCTGCTGCCAGATCTCATTTGATTGGTCAATTCTGGATCAGACGCTGCAGAAGCCCCGCCTGCAGTTGTCATGCAGCCCAACTGGCTCTGCAGTAAAAGCCAAAGAGGCCGGACTTTTAGTCCTTCCTACCGCCCAACCCGGCTGCTGGGTATAAAAACAGCGCTTATCTGTCAGTCAGCTGAAGAAATTTCTATTTTTCTTCCCAGCGGGTGCCGTACGCTGCCTGAGAAAACTTGAGTTAACCAACCAGGACACCAGGAAAGCTTTCCCTCAGGTTTCCAGGTCAGTCTTTTACTCAGTGCCTCTCTAACTGAAGGGATGTTTGAATTTCAGCAGCAGGAAATCGAGGTCATAGCGATGCGCTTCGGGCATGATGGTATAGATTTGAAGCACACGGAAGTCTTATTCATCTGTTTTCTATTAG